TCATTACTGCTCTTGGCAGGGCCCTCGGAGCCATCTCCACACTTGCAATTAAGAGCGCCGGGCACCTGATGAGGTCATGCTGAGCAGAGCCAGGGCCCAGCCGTGCAGCCCAGCCCCGCGTGGTTTGTGCTGTGACTCAGCCCGTGGCCACCCTACCTGCTCGGGGAGTCTGGGCTGGCTGGGCTGAGGTGGGGCCAGGGGGTCCCACTCCTCCTGGGCCGCTCCCTTGGGCCGGCTCGGCTTAATCTCGGCAATTCCCTCCTGGCCACTCCCTCCCCAAATGCTCCTTCCCCTGTTTGCTCAGCGTGGGGAGGGGAGAGCAGTGTGTCTGGTGTGGCAGAGGGAAGGGCACCCTGTCTGCCTCAGGGTCCCTCTTGGGCGGGGAGACCCCGCATGGGGTTCCCGGGATGGGTGGGGGGCCCTGTGCTCCAGCCCTTCTCCCCATTCCTGGTCCTGGGTCCTTGGTGACTTGCTCCTTCCTGCAGGGAGGGCAGGCAGTGCCAAGCCCAGTGATGCAGGTTGAGATTCCCCCTGTGCCTTCAGGCCCTGCTCCTTTGTCCACGGGTTGGAGCAGGGTAACCAGAGCTGGGGCTGCAGGTGTCAGCACAGGAAATGATCTCAAGTGGCTTCCTTGGGAAGAGGGCTCTGCCATGGAAGGGGGCCCAAATCCGTGTGTTCGGGTGCTGGGCTGGCACAGCTGGCGGTGGGTGCTCATGCCCATGGCCTGGTGGAGGGAGGCTTCCCCTAATCCTGCTGGGAATGCTGGCCACCGGGCTGCGGCCTCTCTGCTTGGGGACAGCCAGAGGCACGTGTGAGCCCTGGAGGAGCTCGTGTGCTCCTGGGATGCAGTTTCTCTAGTCTGCCATGCCCTTGGCTCGGGGAGGCAGCTCCTGCAGCAGCGCTGCAGCCTCGGGTCTCGCTGAGAGGGACTTTGCTCCCTGGACTCTGCCAGCACAGCCCTTATCTCTGTAGCACTGGGCTGTGTTTGTTTTCCCTTCGGGAGAGAGGCAGCTGAATGGGAAAGCTGAGCCTGGCAGAGGGTGGGGGAACGGGTGAAGGGCAGGGACATTGGTGTGGCTGGAGCCAGGGGGGGCACGTTGACCTTCATCCCAGCGCCGGGGTCCTGGCTGTGGGCACAGCTCACGTCCCCCATCGAGGTGGCTGCTGTTCCTTGGGTGCAGCAAGGAGCCAGGGGCTGCCCTGTGATCCCGCTGGTTCACCTTGGGCTGGGGCAGCAGAGCCGGGGGGCTGCTGCCTCCCCCCGCCGTGGCCCGGGAGCCGCTGGGGTGAAGCAGGAGCCCGCTGGCTGCCGGAGCGTGGCCTGCCCCGGGAATGCTCTGGCCCCATTCCCAGAATCCGGCGCTGGGTGTTTGTTTGCTGCTGCGCCCCCGAGGTCTGGTGCTACTGTGACAGGAAGCGGGGACGCCGGGGGAGGGAGGCCGGCCGCCGGCTGGGGATGTGCCTGTGAAATCCCTTTGTCCCTGCCGAGCGCTCAGCTGCGAATTCCCACAGCGAGGAGAGAGCCGCCTTTGTGCTGCTGCAGGGCTCCCGACATGTGAATCTCCTGGGCCCCGGGGTGTGAGCCGTGGGGCTGGTGCACAGGGGTGGCGGGGACCCTGCCTGCTGCCGTCCCCAGGGTGGGGGACCCAGGGGAGCGGGGCTGCTGGGGCGTCCGTGGGCAGTGGGATGCAGCGGGATGTTGCTGGCAGGAAGGCTCCAGCCTCGTGGCTGCGGGTGGGCAGAGTCTCTGCCCGGAGCCCGATGGTTTGGCTGCCCTCCTGCAGTCCTCTCCTCCCCAAAAGTGCCGAGGGAAGCTCATCTCCCTTCCCCTTGCTGGGGCCCAGGCTCCTCTGTCCAGCCGGTGCAGAGAGTCAGCAGCTTCCCAGCTTGCCTGGAGGTCTTGCCCCAGGCCCACAAGGAGGGAAAGAGCTCCTTGGAGAGGGGCGAGTGGCCCCTGGCGTGCCTGGGAGGACAGCTGCCCCGCCGCAGGATTGCTGGAATACCAGCAGAACAATCACAGCTCTCTGTGGCTCACCCTGCGCCGCTCTTCGTTGTGCTGGGATGGCCAACAGCACAGGCCTGGTGACCTCAGCCCAGCCAGGGACGGATCCCTTCCCCGGGGGATTGCCCACCGTGTTTCACAACCGCCTGTCCAGGCCTGTGCTGTGGCCCCGATCGGTATCTGCGATCCCGGCCCCCTGCCCTGCCAGGGGAGCGACCCGCGCTCCTGCTTCCTCCCTCCAGCCCCACCCTGCCCTTATCGCTCCCTCCTCATCCTGCTCCCTGGCTCCCGGCCTGCTCCCTTATAAGGTGCGATCTGCGTCCTGGCTTGCATCTCCAGGTGACTCCCCTCTCCGGAGGGAGGCTTTCCCAACCCATCCCGGCTACGTGGCCTCCGTCCCTGGCGCTGGGGGTGGCAGGTGAGGTAGGTAGGCCGGGTGGCGATCCCGCTGCCAGTCCAACCAGTTGGGTGTGATGGGCGGAGGAGAACGGCTCCCTGCCCGTTCCCTGCCTGCGGTGGCCGCTCCTGGGTGTTCCCCCGCTGGGCCGGGCACCGGGGGCACAGCTCCTCCCGAGGAAGGTGGGGCTGCTCCAGGGCAGGCAGGAGCCCAGGACGGTGTCGGACCCGCTGCCGGAGCAGCTCTCTCCTGCCCAGGGAGGGCCGCTGGCCACCTGCCAGCCTGCCCAAAGTCCACTGCCTGTGTTCTGTGACCTGCCAGCGGGAAGAGCCCTCCCGGGGGCCAGGGAGGCAGCTGGAGCCCGGGGCAGGAGGTGGGGGAACCTCTCCCCTGGAGTGGGGTCTGGCAGGGCCAGGGCAGGCTGGGCAGTGGGAATATGGTGCCTCGCACAGCCTGGCAGTGAGGACACGTCAGCCCGGGTAGGGGTCCCTCGTGGGTGGGCTGCTCCGCAGAGGGGGCTGTGGGCACCTTCCTGCCTCTGTGGGTGGGAGAGAAACAGCCAAAACTCTTCATCACCCACGCAGGAATGTGGGATCTGCTGCCCGCCATCAGCCGCCCTGGTTCCCCCGTGCCCTGGGGACCGTGGGTGCTCTGGGCTGGACACAGACGTGGGTGAGATGGGGTGAGCCTGGACCTGCTTCCTCGGGCAGGCTGAGGTCCAAGGGCTGATGTTTGAGCCTGGACCCTGCACTCGGGGTGGGGAAAGATGCCAACGCTGCCGGTTCATTTATTTTTTAGGTAATTGAGACTGACCAGGAGCCTGTGGTGAATTAGCAGGGCCGTGAGCCTGTGCAGGGCAAGTGCACTGCAAGCGCTCGGACAATTGCAGGCTTGAATTATTGATGGAGTCTCTGTGTTTCCTGAGTGCATCGTGATTGGCAGCTGGAACCAGGAGAATTTGTTGCTTCCTCTCTCTCTCTTGAGGACGGGGGTCTAGTGTTGAGAGCTTTTGGAGGGCGGGCAGCCAGCTGGCTCTTCTCAGGCTCTCAGACTGAGAGGGAAAGGCCAGTTACAGGAGCGGTGTTGCCATTTTTCATGTTGGTATTGGGGACTGTGTTGGAGCAGGAGCAAGTTCCTCAGGCAGTGCCTCCCTCCTTGTCAGCCTGGCAGCCCCCACGGGGGCTCAGCCAGCCTGGGCGAGGGGCTGGGTCCATCCTGGCTCTGATGGAGCTTGTGCCTCACAGCATGGGGGGCTGCCAGGGGTGTCCAGCCACGGTGACAAACCTTGCCACGTGCCAAACAGGTGCCTGGGGGACACAAACAAGCAGTAAAGCAGAGGGGAGGGCTGATGCAGCTCTGTCCCCCCTCCCTGGTGGCGGTGGGACGATGGGAGTGAGCGCCTGGTGTGTCCCTTAGCAGGGAGCCAGGGCAGGGCTGATGTGGCAGAGGCGATTCTGGCTTTGTAGGTGCTTGGGTTGAACTTTGCCCAGAGTATTCTGTGCTGAGGCCGTGGCCTTAGCCCCAGGGATCCCAGGAGCATTGGGTGACAGCTCTCTGGGGACTTGGGGCATGGAGCAGGGCTGGAGCAGGTCGTTGGAAGGACCCAAGCAGAGGGCTGTGTGCTGGAGATCCATCACCCACAGGCTGCAGCGGTGCTGCCTGTCAAGCCTCCTGCCCGAGTCCTATCTGTCGGATCTTGTCCATTTTCCCTGGCTTGTGGAGTGCAGTTCCCCATCTGCTGGCTCAGTCTGGGCCCTGGGGTTAATCTTTCTGTGGCTGACTCCAGGGAAACACTCCTGGTGGGGAGCCTGCAAGGCCTGGACTCCATCCTCTGGCAGAGGAAGGTGCAGGTGAACTCTAGGTGGGTATGTCTGTGGTTTGGCCCTGGAAGCTTTTTATTTTTCCAGGCAAAACATTTATTCTGTGGGGAGGCAGTTTCCCTGGAGAAGCCAGGGCAAGGGGTTTTAGAAGAATATCCCATGCCAAAGCTGCCCCTAGTGAAAGAGCTCTGGAGGGCTCAGAGTTTAGGGTGCCTGTCTCCGTATTATCAAGCTTTTAATCCAGCCAGGAAGATCAGGGTGGGTCCCTCTGAGGAGGGAAGCTCCGTGCACACAGGTGGGCTGGCAGCTGTCTCCTGGCCAACAAGCAGGCTCTGCTTCCAAGGCTCCACAGGGGTGACATCTCTCCAGTAGACCCGCTCTGGCTTTGGGACCTCTGGGCACAGCACAGTGTGGGGTTGATGCCAGGAAGTTGGGAGATAAGGCCAGGGGGGGTTGGATGTGAAGCTTTCTGGGTCGCTGCATTGGTCCCTGGGGTCCCCTTGTGGCAGGGGGGAGGACAGAGGGGAGTTCTGCCCCTGGGGCAGGAGCTGCTCAGGGTGTGCTTTGTCTTTAGGCTTTTTGGTTTGCCCTGAACCGAGCCAGCCGAAATATTTTTGGCTTGCTGGGGTTTTTAAGTAACGGGTGTGTCAGCAAGTGCCTCTCTCATGATGAAAAGGCTTTCATGAGCCGTCCTCAGAGCTGGTCAGGGTCTGGCTCTGGAAGAATGCTCTGTAGTTGGATCTTCAGAGGCTGGGGGGGGAGGAGGGGGGAACGGGCGCAAAGCGATCCCTGGAATTTCACCCTTGCGGGTTCCGGCGTCCTTGGCTTTGCTCTGTCACACGAGCAGCTCACTGGCTGCCTGGCTGAGGCTCTCCCCTTCCTGCCCTCCCTGTCCTGCTGCAGAGGTGGCCAGCGAGTGCCCCAGACTGGCATGGGGACGTGGCAAGGGGCTGTGCTGTGCCCAGGGAGCCCCTGTCCCTGGGTGCTGGCCTGTGAGCCACCGGGAGGGATGTGGGGCAGGTCACTCCCAGCTGGGCGGGTGCAGGGCTGAGTTTGGGGTTTGTGTGCCAGCCAGGACGGTGCAGGGCTGAGTGTGGGGTTTATGTGCCAGCCAGGACGGTGCAGGGCTGAGTTTGGGGTTTGTGTGCCAGCCAGGATGGCGCTCGCTGACCTCTCCGGGGCTGGCACTGCCTCTCTGTAATTATGTCTTTAATCCCAGATCGATGAAGACAGCGGCTGGAATGAGGGAGGTGGCATGCCCTGGTGGCAGAGGAAAGCTGGGAGAGACCCTGTTCCGCTGGCACCTCTTGCCCGTCGTGGAGCTGTGCCCAGTGCTCACAGGGCAGGAGTGACAACCGTGTAGGCGGGGCAGCCCCAGGCACTCAAGAGTTGTTGCCCCTCTGCTTAACACGACCTGATCCTGCTGGGAGACCCTCGGGTGGCCCCCGCTGAGCGTCTGCTGGTCCATGTCAGCCGTGGGCTCACCCGGCCTGGGAGCACAGCCAGCCCCGATGGGACAGAGACCTGCCCCCAAGAGCCCCTCGTGAGTCTGCTCTCCCTAAACCCTTCTGCTGGGACCTGGTGGCCCGAAGGGGAGGGGAGGGCCAGTGTGTGTCCCCACACCTCCTCCTGCCAGGGCTGGAGGGGTGTTTGTGCAGGGGGACAGGAGAGGTGGAGGGTGCGGGACCTGTCCCGTTCCTTCCGCTGCTGGAGTGTTTACTCCCTGTGGAAGGGACGGGAAGGAAACAGCCTCGCGCCTGCTCCGGCCCCTTATCTGGGGCCCAAACGGCCCTGCAAGCTTCATTGTTAGCGTCCACGTTTCCCAGCCCTGTTCCCAGGGAACGTGCAGAGGTGGGGACCCGGGGCTGGGGAGGCCCTGCTGGCTGTGAGGGCCCTGCCTGGCAGCCACAGGGCTCTGCTGGGGATCCCGTCTCTCCTCTCCGTGCTCCCCCACAGAGCCAGACCCCGCTGGTCCACGCTTGCTGCTCGGTACTGAGGCCACTCACAAACAAGTGTGAGCCTGTTCACAAGAGCAGGGGCTCAGCAAAGTCTCTCCTGGAAGTCAGGGTGCTGCCTCTGTCCTCCTGCACCCCAAAAATCTGCCTCTTCTCTGTTGGGACAGTTGAGGGCAGGCTGGGAAGCACAGCAGCCTGGGCAAGGCTACACTGTGGAGAATCCCTCCTTCATAGGGGGTTGTTCCTCTCTTATGAAGGACTTGCTGAAATACCACTCTGAAATGAATCCCAACAAGCCAGCGGGGCTTCTGACTGGGGTTTTGGATGCTGCAGTCGTGTAGGGTGTCTGGGTGGTAGGACCATCCCTTGTCCTGCTGGACAAGACTGGGATGTGGCAAGGAGCTGCTCCCCTTCCTTGGGGAGAGGGCTGGGGAGCTGCAGCAGCCTCCCAGCAGTCGGTCTCTGTGGCAGGGACATCCGGGAGCCCCGGAATGCAGAGGATCTGCGTCCCTGCTGGAAGCGGGGGGGGGGGTCCCACCAGAGATGGGGAGTGTTTGACTCGGGGGTGTGAGAGCTGGGATGTGTCAGCGCTGTTTTGGGAGGCACCAAGCCTCTCCTTTGGAGAATCCCACAAATCCGTGGGGCAGGTGAGCTGAAGGGTCAGAGCCGTCCCTGCATTTCCATACATTTCCATACAAGGCTCGGGAGCCGATCTGTTGAGAAAGCCTCGGGGTGTACCTGTTGCAAGGTGGGAGGGGTGGAAAGCTGCGTGCATGAGCCAGGAGTCATGTCTGGGGAGCCTCCAAAAGCTTGCCGAGGCAGTGGGCTGCGTCCTTCCCAGGATGTGGACAGGCCAGAGAGCATCCCAGCCCACGGGGGGCTGGTGTTTTTTATCGAGAGATTTGTTGCTGATGAAGGCAGATGAGAGGGTGGTGGCTACCAGATGGTGGAACGTGCTGCATGTGCCTTCCAAAGTGCTTGGAAAACATCTGCTCTGTGTCGTTGGGCTCCGTGGTGGTGGTGCTGGTGCCACCAGGGCTGCCTGTGTCCAAGGGAGGCTTTGGGAGGCAGAGCCACAGGAGGAGTGGGGAGGGCATTTTAGGAAGGGTTTGATCGGGATGCACTTTGAGAGAGGGTGGCAAATGGTTCAAAAGACCGAAAAAAGGCCTGTTCTGAGCTGCTGTGCACCAGCATGTGCTGCAGGCAGGCTCTGGAGGGGTGAAGGGCTGCGAGGGGCGGGCGGGAGAGGGGGATGCGGGCAGGAGAGGGGGATGCTGCCGGCGGGAGATCTCAGCAGGGTGGCACCGGGGAGTGGGCAGAGCCGATGCTGGAGACCGTGGGAAAGCAGGCTCAGTGCTGGCTGCCTGGCTGGAGCGAGTCCCCACACGCCTGCCATGACTGCAGCGGGTTTGGGAAAACCTCTCGGGCTTGCAGGGACTCGGCCGGGCTGCGCGGGGGGGCGGAGGGCCGAGCCCCGGCCGCTCCTCTCCGCCTCTGCCGGGGGTGCCGGGGTCTCCGTGGAGCTGTGGGAGCAGGGCAGCCTTTGCCACCCTGCCGGCCGTCCCAGACACTGCTCCATCCCTCCGAGGGGAGGGGGTGGGACAGAGGCGCCCCTTTCCCGGTTCTGTGCCCGCCCTGCCTTCTGTTTGGGGTTCCCGCGTGTGATTTTTGACCTGCTCCCGCTGTCCCTGCAGAGCTCTCTTCCCTCCTGCTTCCTCACTGTGGTGGCTGGGCTGTTTCTCCCATGACTCTCTGCGTCTAGATCTGGCTGTCCCCGTGCCTTTGCCAATCAAACCTGAACTTCCTCCTCTGACAGGTCTGTATGGAAGAATATTGCCTTTCTCTACCGAAATGTTGATTGCGGCTCACTTGCTGTTCTCCTTTGGGAGGGGGTGTTGGAGGGGTCCAGGCCAATGCCCATCCCTAGGTCTGCGGGCTCAGGACCCCCTGGGGGGCTGCAGCCTGGAGGGTGGTGAGTTTTGGCAGCAGTCACGGGGGCTCATGGGGTCCCCTTTAGGGGGATCCCGTCCCATTTCATCCCCTTTCCTGCGTAAGGAAGGAGCTGTGGAGCCAGGGCTGTCTCCCCACCATTTATCACACCAGGGAGGAGGGAACAGATAAGTGACACAGCCCTCTCCCTCCACCCTTCCCTGAAGGAAGCAGTGGGATGTGGGTCACTTCTCGTTCTCCGGGAGTGTCCCCTGCCCTGCCCCAGGGATATGCCCTCCCCTCCTGCACTGCACTTGCAGCTTTTCCTTGCCCCTGAGCTTTTCCTGCGGCCTGAGGAGGACCCTTGTGGGAAGAGAGAACCCCTCAGCCCACAGCAGCTCTTCCAAACCCAGCTCAGCCCCAGCTGTTGGGTGTGCTGGGGGGACCTTCTGTCCCCACAGTGCCACTTTTCCAAGCTTAAATGCTGGGGCAGTTTGCATCTGAGTCCTGCCCAGGGCTGTGCTGCTCCAGGACCCTCTTGCCAGCTCTCTGGTGATGGGTGGGAGTGGGTGTTAATGCCATAAGATTTTTTTTTTTTTTTTTACTTTTCCCTTGTTCTGAGAATCTGTCTTAACGAAATCAGTCTCTTCTGACCGCTCTTCTCTCTCCTCCTTTTCCTCCCCCAAATCACGTGCAGTGAAGAGAGGGGCTCCTGCCCCTTCTGGGTCACTTTTCCTCCCCTCACCTTGACTCCAAGCCGCCTCCGCTCGTGCGTCCCCGCGCCCCCCGCCCTGCCTGCCCCGGGCACCCGTCACCCATGGACGACTCGGAAGTGGAGTCGACCGCCAGCATCCTTGCCTCTGTCAAGGAGCAGGAGGCACAGTTCGAGAAGCTGACCCGGGCCCTGGAGGAGGAACGGCGCCATGTCTCAGCCCAGCTGGAGCGAGTCCGGGTCTCCCCACAGGACGCCGGGCCGGGCTTGGCCAACGGCACGCTCACCCGGCGGCACCAGGTAAAACACCCCCTCGCCAGAGCGGGGGCAGAGGCTCCCGGAGCCCCCAGCCGTGTCAGTCCTGCCTCGGAGGGGGCAGCTTCCCGCCTTTGGCCCTCCCTGGACGCGGGAGGTGGAGGAAGGCTCGGCCGGTCCTGTGACACTGGTGTACCGGAGTCGATCTGGGGGTGTGCCGACCTCCCTCGGCAGCCAGAGCCTTCGGGGGTGGAGGTGCCAGCCAGCCTGGAGGGTTTTGATGCCAGGCGGGCTCTGGTCTGGTTTTGTGAAGGTCAGAGGTGTGCTGTGCTCGGTTCCTGGGCATCTCTGCTCCCCATCCCGCTCGGCTGCTTGGAGGGCGGCCGAAATGCAGATGCTGTGGGGGAACGTGTGTGTCTCCCTCTGTGTGATGATGGGCAAGGCCCTGGAGTCTCGGTCTGTCCCCACACAGCCAGACTGGGGCTGGGGGAAATCATCCCTACAGGGGCTGGAAACGTGGTTTCATCTGCCTTGGCTTGAGGTGTCTCCTGTTCTGACTTTCTCAGGCTCAGTCTTGGAGAGGGGTGCTCATAGGGCTGGTGTGTGGTGTTGTGCAGGAGGCAGGTGTCTTTCTGGCTGTGGTGCCAGGAGAGCCGTGCGGGGCAGGGCAGGGTGGGCAGAGGAAGGAGGAGTGCGAGTGTCAAACAGCAGCACCCTGTGATCAGCCGCTGAGCGCCCGCGTGGTTCCCTCTGGCCCCGGGGGGGCCTCTGGGGTGTCACTGGTGGCTCCTGCATCAGAACATGTGGAAGGTGTCCAGGGCCCTGCTGGGGAGCAGGGAAGTGTCGTGGCCATTCCGTCGGGAGTGTGTGGGCATCGTGGGAGAGCTGGGATGTCTGGAGGGGGCTGAGTGGCGTGTCCTCCCGCTCTTCCCCGGGCTGGCATGGGGGTGGTTTGCTGCACGTGGCACAGACCCCCGAGGAGCGTGTTTACGCCCCTGGGAGTTCACCCTGTGAGGTGCAGGAGATGGGCTGCTTGGAGCCCAGAAGGGAAGCAGGGATGGACATGTGGGAGGTCAGTCTGGTAACGGGCCTGCTGTGTTTCAGAACGGACGTTTCTTGGGCGATGCTGACCTGGAAAGGCAGAAGTATTCAGATCTGAAGCTGAACGGGCCACAGGTAAGGGGAGCTCGGCCCTCTGGCTGTGGGCAGCCTGCTTGCTGGGGGAGGGTGCAGGACAGTGCTCCAGTGTCCCTGTTCCAACTGGAAGAGGGCGGTTTGTGCTTCCAGTGTGGCCACCCTGGCTTGAAGGGGCTTCGGGCATGGGGTTGCTGGTACCTCCTTCCAAGAGGATATCGGAGCTCCCTGTGAGGAGGGAGATCTCTCATCCAGCGGACTCCAGGGAGGTCCAGGTTGGTGATGGGGCCTCCCTGCCTGTCGCTTTCTCCCCTCAGGACCACAGCCACCTCTTGTACAGCACAATCCCCAGGATGCAGGACCCGGGCCAGATCGTGGAGGAGACGTACACCATGGAGGAAGACCCGGAAGGGGCCATGTCAGTCGTGTCTGTGGAGACGTCAGATGATGGGACAACCCGGCGTACGGAGACCACGGTACGGGCCTGGGGAGAGCGTGGCGGGACAGGGCATGGCTGGGGACCATGATGGCTGTCTGCCAGCGGTGTCTGACAGCCTGCTGTGCCACGAGCTGAAACAGGGGGAGAAATGTGCCTGAAGTAAAGTGCTGGGCTGGCAGGGGAATCCGGGGATGCAGGGCTGTGGCGAGTTCCCTTATGGGAGCGTGTCCTGCACGCGTGTCACCCCCTCCAGGTGAAGAAAGTGGTGAAGACCGTGACCACCCGGACAGTGCAGCAGGTGCCGGTGGGGCCCGACGGGCTCCCTTTGGAAACCTCCCCCGTCACCAGCAACTACGTCCAGACCATGGACAGGAACTTCCGCAAGAACGGCAACGGGGGCCCCGGCAGCTACCTGAGCCAGGCAGGCACGGCCACCCTCCCTCGCAACTACCACTACCCCGACGGCTACGGCCGCCCCTACGAGGACGGCTACCCGGGCAGCGACCACAGCTACGGCAGCCTGTCCCGCGTCACCCGCATCGACGAGCGCTACCGTCCCTCCATGGACACCTACCGCGCCCCCAGCCGCCAGGACATCTACGGCCCCCAGCCCCAGGTGCGCGTCGGGGGCAGCAACATGGACCTCAACCACTTCCACCCCGAGCCGTACGGCCTGGAGGACGACCAGCGCAGCGTGGGCTTCGAGGACGTGGACTACGGGCTCATGTCCGACTACGGCACGGCCAGGAGGGCGGGCACCCCCTCGGATGCCCGGCGGCGGCTCAGGTACGTGGAGCAGGAGGCTCTGGGCTGCTGGGGGGTGCTGTGGGGTCCATTGAACCTCGTGCTCCTTGGAGGAGGGAGGATGGTGGACACAACACGGTGAGGTGAGTCACAGGCGGCTCATGCGGGAGAAAACTTGCATCCGCTTCTAATTGTCTGCTTAATTGGTGGTTAAACCCGGGTGCTAATTGAGCCGGTCCTCCTGCAGCGAGGAGTTCCACTGGGCAGCTGGATGTAGCTCCGGGCCCTTCCCTCTGTGCCACCTGGCTGGTCTGTCTGTGCGCCAGCCCGGAGTATCCCACTGTATCATCACCCTGCTGTGCAGGTCTGCAGCAGCCCCGTGATCGTGCTCTCCCCGAGCCAAGGGCAGCCTCAGGGAGGGGAGCTGAGCCCAGGCTGGGGTGAGCAGGACTCAGCCCCACGGTGCCCCAGGAGTGTTCCTGGTTCCTGCACAGCCCGACCCTGCTGCAGGGCAGGGCGGGAGAAGCTGCTCAACCTGTTTGGCAGCAGCAGCAGTTTCTCCCCTCATGTGTGTCTGTGGCGATGGCGGCTCCCCCAGCCTGGTTGCAGAGCACCTGCCCTGCCATGCTGTGCTGCCTTTGGGGGCTGGAGGAGGGTCCTGGTGGTCCTTCCTGCCCTGCCAGGCACCTGGGAATGTCCCCTGCCTGAGGCCATGACTCCTATCCATTGGTCTCCCGTGCCAGCTGTCTCCTACACAGGCGCTGTTCTGCTCCCTTCCCTGCTCCCGGCTGGGCTGTCAGGCAGGGTTTGGGCAGGTGCTGGGGGGTGGCTCCAGGGATGGGGAGGTAGGAATGGAGCAAGGGGCTGAGCCAGGCTCCTGGAGATGGGGAGGGGACGATCTCGGCAAGCTGGGATGGATGTGCACCTCCTGAGTGCCCCAGTGTGGGCCCAGCCAGGCAAGTAAGGCTCAGCGCAGGCTGCCTGAGCTCCTGGGACATAAACCAGAGGCAACCTGGGGCAGAGGAGGCTCTGGCCATCCCCTGTGGAGATCTGCCCCATCTAGGCACTGTGAATCCACGCTGGCTCCTGGCTGCTGAAGGGGAGAGCAGCTTTGTCTGTCCTTGTGGCTGGTGCCAGCACGAGTGCTGCGGGGCTGTGCCGAACCAGTCGGGGCGGTTGCTCACCCAGGTGGATTTCCCCGGCCACCTCGCTTTGTGCAGCTTGTGCCGGCTGGAGGAGGGCAGGCAGGGCTGCTCCAGGCTTCTGCCTTCTCGGGCAGCCTGGGAGAGGCCAGCTCTGGCAGTTTTGGGCATGTGGCCGTCACATCTCGCCCCTCAGTGAGCACCTTGGGCAGGAGGGGTTACACAGGTGTGTTCCACAGAGGCTCTGGCCTGCGAACCTTCCCTGGGCTGTGCCCTGCCCAGCACCCAGCCCTCCCTGTGTGGCCTTTGAGACCACGAGCCCTCTTTGCTGGGCTGGAAGGTGTCTGTGCTCCTGCCCCTCCAGGTCCTGGAGGAGGGGAGTTACAGGAGCCAAGTGCAGGAGCTGCAGCCGGGTGGGAGACTTGGGGACCTGGGTCCAACAGAGCAAGGAGGTTCCGCTTCCAAGGACAACCCTGTTGGGGATGTCAGCTTGTCCTGCGGGGGCAGTGCAGGGTATGAAGGATGGGTTGGTGGGCCCCTGGGCCGGCTCTCCCTCCCCGGGCAGGCAGATAAAGATCACAGCAATCTGTGGAATCCAGGCACTGTTGAGATTGGCTTGTCCCCCACCTTCTCAGTTACCATCCACACTCTCTGCCCAGCTTGCTGGAATGGGAGCAGGGAGAGCAGCGTCCCCCCTGCCTCAGAGATGTTTGTCTTGAGCAGGGGCCTGGCTGTTAATGACTTCCTTCGGGGAGGCAGCTGGCCAGGAACTCTGGAGCAGAAGGAGTGCCCTGAGCCCAGGGATGCAGCGAGTGCTGGCTGCCATCAGCCACAGAGAGCGCCTGGTCCCTGCCCTGGGGCTCTTCCCAGAGCTCCCTCTGCAAGGGAGGAGGGAAGGGGGGTGCTTCCCCTCCCTGACAGCCCCATCTTGCCTGGAGGGGCACTGAGACACTCACGGTGGGACAGGGGCTTCCATTCAGGGAGTTAGTCTTGGAAAGGGAGCGGGATCGGCTGCCAGCCCTGCTGGCAAGTGTCAGTGGCTTGCTGGCAGCACTGGCACGTGGCTGTGTCTGGTGGCTTTGGCAAGTTCTGTACCACAAGATGTAGGTAGGGAAGTGGTGGCAGGAGCAGGACCTGCCACCCATCGTGTCAGACCTTTCCCTGCCTGTGCCTGGTCTGGGAGCTCAGAGGTTGCTGAGCAGCCCCTGGGGCAGGTGTGAGACGGAGGGTGGAAACCTCTCCTTGGGTCTTATCTGAGTGTCCTCAGTGCCCTGGCACAACAGGGGCAAGAGTCGTCCCCTCCCATCTCCTTCTGTTGGAAATCACTGGATTCCTCTGCCCGGGTGGGAGAAGGATTATATTGGCAGTGACTGCAGAAATAGGGGAGAATCAGGGGTTTTGTGAGGTGTGTGCCACGGGCTGTTCAGTGTCACTTCAGCATGGGGGGCAGTAGTTGCACTTTGAGCTTCCATGTGCTTGCTGGGGCTCATTCCCAGCGCTGCCAGTCTGAGGGTGAGCTGCTCCTGGCCGGGGTGAGGGTGTGGGACCAGGGCTCTTCCCTGGGCCCGAGCCAGGAGCCACGAGGTTGATCCCTGGAGCCCAGGTGTCTCTTGGTGCCTGTCCCTCAGGCAGTTAGCACACTTTGCCTCCAGGGCTGGCTCCTGCCTGTGCCCTGGGGCTGGCTCCTGCCTCCACAGGCATCAGACCAGGATCCAGCTTCATCCCTTCTGGTGGGTTGGAGGAAAAGGTGATGAAAAGGGCTGGAAATTTCTTCCTCCTCTTTCGGTCCTGGATCAGACCTGAAGGTCTGGCTGTGAACAATTCCTTCTGCCTCTGACCATAGAAGATAAGATGGAAAACTTGGTGGGAAAGAGAAGTAAATCCACCGCTAACCAGCTGATGTAAAAATGATTGATTTAGGGCCTACGTGTAAAAATGGAATCTGCAAAGTAGGTCGAAAAGCTGGGAAAATGTGAGAACTGGACAGCTTAGTTGACGAAACGAGAAGGAATTACGGTCCGAAGGGGCAGAACTTATTTTGAGGAACAGATGTAATTCCGGAGGATTGGCGTGAATAGATGTAGGAACAAATCCTTCAAGGCTGTCACAGGGGGATAAGCAAGGAGCTTACGAGGAGCTCCAGCAAGGCCTGGGCGTGTGCTGACGCCCGCCGCCCTCTCTCCTAGGAGCTACGAAGACATGCTGGTGGACGACGTGGCCCCGGACCGGTACTACTGGGCCCCGCTGGCCCAGCACGAGCGGGGCAGCCTGGCCAGCCTGGACAGCCTGCGGAAGGGAGCTCCGGCGCCGGGGAACTGGCGCCAGCCGGAGCTGCCGGAGGTGATCGCCATGCTGAGCTTCCGGCTGGACGCCGTCAAGTCCAACGCGGCCGCCTACCTGCAGCACCTGTGCTACCGCAACGACAAGGTGAAGACGGAGGTGCGCCGGCTCAAGGGCATCCCCGTGCTGGTGGGGCTGCTGGACCACCCCAAGAAGGAGGTGCACTACGGCGCCTGCGGGGCCCTCAAGAACATCTCCTTCGGCAAGGACCAGGACAACAAGATCGCCATCAAGAACTGCGACGGCGTGCCCGCGCTGGTGCGCCTGCTGCGGAAGGCCCACGACATGGACCTCACGGAGGTCATCACAGGTGACGGCTCCGGGCGGGGCGGGACGGGCTGGTGGTGCCGCGGGCGAGGTCTGCGGTCGGGGTCTCCGAGCGCTCACCTCGCGCCTGCGGCGTTGCAGGGACGCTGTGGAACCTGTCCTCGCACGACTCCATCAAGATGGCCATCGTGGATCACGCGCTACACGCTCTGACCGACGAGGTGGTCATTCCCCGCTCCGGCTGGGAGCGGGAGCCCAACGAGGACTCCAAACCCCGCCACATCGAGTGGGAGTCGGTGCTCACCAACACCGCCGGCTGCCTTAGGTATGGGAGAGCCCTGGCCTGGGTCTGGGCTGCAACGCTCCTTCCTGGCTGTTCCTGGGACTGCCAGAGCTCTTGGAGCTCTGTGGAGACAGCTGCTGGTGATGCAGACCTTGATTTCGGAGCAGTTTCCCTCACTGAGGGGAGCTACAAGAGCCTTTTTCTCTCTTGAGCTCTGTGGGGTGCGGGCTGCCCCTCGCCTGCCCTCAGCTGCCCCTGCCATGACGTTTCTCTCCTACCTGCCAGGAACGTGAGCTCGGAGCGGAGCGAGGCCCGTCGGAAGCTGCGGGAATGTGACGGGCTGGTGGACGCCCTGATCTACATCGTGCAGTCCGAGATCGGCCAGAAGGACTCAGACAGCAAGGTACCACGGTGGGGCTGGTGTCGGGGAAGGGAGAGCCTGTTTGGGGTGTACCTGGCACTGTTGGAGCAGTCTGGCACTCACCCTGCAGTTTGGGATAGGAATGTTGGCCCCCCAGCAGGGGTCTGCTTGTCCCTCACCCCCAAACCGCTGTCCCCTGGCTCAGGGCTCTTTGATCTACCTGGATGAGGTGCTGGCTTGAATTTTCCTTGGCCCTTTCGTGCTTATGGCAGAGAGGGTTTTGGCCCACGGGGTACGAGCTCATGCCTGCAGCACTGGTCGTGCCAGCTTTGGGATGGGGTGTGCTCCATCCATCTGGGATGAAGCTGCACATCCTCCTGGACGCCGGGTGCTGAGCCCTCGCTCGGAGACTTGGGGTGCTGCTCCCAGTCAGACACTCTGGTTCTCTCCCCAGCTGGTGGAGAACTGTGTGTGCCTGCTGAGAAACTTGTCCTACCAAGTGCACCGGGAGATCCCCCACGCCGAGCGCTACCAGGAGACTCCCCTGGTCCCTGCCAACAACGCCGGGCCCCACGCCGCCAGCTGCTTCGGTGCCAAGAAGGGCAAAGGTTTGTGGGCCAGCAGCGGCAGGGAGGGAAGGGATAGGGACAGCCCTGCTGCAGCACGTCTGGAGGGTGGCCTGGGGTCTCTGTGCTCCTACTTGGGCATCTCACATGGAGCCTAAACTGCAGCTTTCTCCGGGGGTGCAGTGGTCCCTGGCTCTGGGAGCTGCTGCTTGGCTCGCCCGAAGCGTTTGGCACAGGCTGTGCTGGGTGTCTCTGGTGGTGGGATGGTGATGGCTACGTGTCCACTAACTCCACGCCTTCCCTTTTCTCCTGTGTTGCCCCTTCCCCTTCCCTTCGCTTTCTTGCCAAATGATCTGCCCCATGACGCTGTCGGCACCTCTCTCCTCCTGCCTCCCCCCTCTCCTGTCCTTCTCTCCGCCTCACCAATAGACGAGTGGTTCTCCAGAGGTGAGTGCGCTCTTGGTTTTACTTTTTTCCATGGTTCGATTGGGTGCTTTCTCCAGCTCTCTTTGTGTGTCCCCCCCCCCATCCCCTGCTGGGCACATTCTGCCTGCAGTGTGGCTAATGCCCCCAGTGCCCCCTCCTGGGACGTGCTGGTCGCTTGGCTTCAGCCTCTGGGCTTGTTCCTGCAAGTGGCAAAGAGCTGGTGGGCTGAGGTGGGTGGGGAGAGGAGGAATCTCACGCCTCTCCACTTGCCCTTTTTGAAGGTAAAAAGCTCCCAGAAGACCCTGGTGCCGACACAGTGGATTTTCCCAAAAGAACAACTCCTGCCAAAGGTGTGTTCCTTGGATGATTTGCCTTGGGTGTTAGGGCAGCTCTTCCCCCAGCGAGCCTCTCCAAGGGGCAGAGGTTGGTCTTGGAGCAGGAATGTTCCTGGCTACCCAAAGGCCTGTTAAAACTACGAGCTCTGCCAGCAGTTGTGAGGATGCTCGTGCATAGAGGAGGTCAGTGCTGGCTCAGGACAGGCTTCAGAGGGAACTATTGCCCCAGGGGCTGAGGGGCAGCAGAGTGACACAGCCCTCTGTGATGGTCTCAGACTTCCAGCACAGTGGCCTTCTTACCCGCTCTTCTCTCCTGGGCACGAAGAGCAGGCAGGATTTAAAGCCAAAATCTCTGCCTTTAGTGTTCTCCAGCATGAGCGTGAGGAAGGGTCGTTCCACAAAAAACCTCTGGGGACAAGCATCCTGCTGCCAGTGAATCATAGGCCAAGCAGTGAGCACTAGCCCAGGGCTTGAGTTCAGCTCCTCCTGCCCCCAAAGCACCCTGTGGTTCCCAGGAGGACCCCAGTGCTCCTGGGGCTACAAAGATTTGAGCCAGAGGAACCAAAGGAAACTTAGGGCAGGCCTGAGCTTGTGAGCAGCTCAAATACATGGTGGTGGTGGCTCCTTAGGCTGACCTGAGCTGTGGGAAGAGTCAGCTCCCATCTCTGGTGGAAGACTGAGGAAGCACCTGCTCTGACTTTGGGGCCATCCCTCAAGGCAGGGGAGGACAAGATGGAAAACCCGGCCTTGCACCTACGAACTGCAGCCTTAGTGCTGCTTTACAAGTCACTTCTGGGCATGTTGCCATGGAAAAGAGTTGATGCTTGAATGCCTGACCCCTGCCTGTGTGCTGGGGGCCTGGGCCCTCGCTCCCTGAGGGTGAGGGGTGCTGGTGGGCACAACTTGGGGTGTTTCCCAAGTTTCTCCCTTTGGAGCTGCAGTGTTGTGTTGGGTGCCGTGGGTGGCAGCTGTGGTGTCCCTGATCCCAGATCTGGTACCCTGGGGCAGCCCCTCTGTGCCAGGTATCCTGCCTCCAGGATAGAAGGGTAGAAGCTTCTGGGTAGAAGCTTCCAGCCTTGTCTGGCCAGCAGTGCTCCCTTGGATGAGTCAGGTGCTGGTGGATCCCTGGGGTAAGCGCTTCCCACCCGTGTTCTCCTGGCAGGCTACGAGCTCCTCTTCCAGCCAGAAGTGGTGAGGATATACATCTCCCTCCTGAAGGAGAGCAAGACTCCGGCCATCCTGGAGGCTTCGGCGGGAGCCATCCAGAACCTGTGTGCTGGCAGCTGGACGGTGAGTGCCCCTGGAGCTGGCTGTGTCCAGGGAAGGGGCCCGGGGAGCTGGGAATACCGCCAGTGGTGTGGGCAGTGGGACCGTGGATGCCATCCCGGGCTGTTCCCTTCCTGCGTGGCCCCAGGAGCCACCATCCCACGGCACAGCCCAGGTGTGCACGGGGTCCCCCGTGCTGCGAAGGGCTCTGTGCTCACTGCCAGCTGCCTGTGCCCTCCTGGGGGCAGGGAATGAAGATAATAACCTGCATTACCTCGGTGTGTATGCAGAGACCCTCTGGGAAGCCTGGCCTGTCCCCTGAGGGGGCCCTGGGGTGGGAGCGGGCTCTGTGGGTGCAGCAGGCCCCTGATGCCCGTGGTGAGGGGGGCTGCCAGGGTTGGTACCCAGCCCCGGGTGACCCGGGGGTGCTGTCCCTGCCCCGCAGTACGGCCGGTACATCCGCTCGGCGCTGCGCCAGGAGAAGGGGCTCTCTGCCATCGCCGACCTGCTGAGCCACGACAGCGAGCGCGTGGTGAAGGCGGCGTCCGGCGCCCTGCGCAACCTGGCCGTGGACCTGCGGAACAAGGAGCTGATCGGTGAGCACAGCTCTGCACACCCACCCCGGGCCGGGCGGGAGCGTCCTGCCCTGCTGAGGGAGCGTGTGGGCACACATCAGCCCAGCCTCTGCCCGCTGCTCCTCTCGAGAGCAAATGGGCCGCCCGTCACCTTCCGCGCTGGTTTTCCCAGCAGTCCTGTTCTTTCTTGCTCATGCCCAGCTCTTTCCCCTTCCCAGGCAAGCACGCCATCCCCAACCTGGTGAAGAACCTGCCTGGAGGCCAGCAGACCCCTGCCAAAAACCTCTCTGAGGACACGGTGGTGTCCATCCTCAACACCATCAACGAAGTGATCGTGGACAACCTCGAGGCCGCCAAGAAGCTGCGGGAAACGCAGGGGATTGAGAAGCTGGTGCTGATCAACAAATCTGGGTAGGTGCTGCTCAAAGGGTGATGCCAAGGGGTGGAGAGGGCCTTCTCCAGCAGCCTCCCCTGGGCTGTGACCGTTTCCAAACGTCTCTTCCTTCCCCTCTTCCCAGGAACCGCTCAGAGAGAGAAGTCCGAGCAGCCGCCCTCGTCTTGCAGACAGTCTGGGGCTACAAGGAGCTGCGGAAGCCCCTCGAGAAGGAAGGCTGGAAGAAGTCAGATTTCCAGGTGTGGGGATGCCCTGTGGTGGCTGGGGTAGGCGGTGGGGTCCTGCAGCAGGGAGAAGGGTGTTCCTGGAGCTCAGCAGGACCAGTTTGCAGCCCTTGGCCTTGCTGGTGGGACTGGGCACCCACAGAGGTGTCCCCTGTGCCTCAGGGGAATGTCCCTGTGCCTCAGGGGAATGTCCCTGCTCCTCAGCTGATGGCCAGCAGGAAGGCTCTGCTGAGGACACTCTGAAGTGTCACACCCTGTGTCCCACACCAGCGTGTGGCTCCACAGGCAGGAATTTTGTCACCCTAAACTCTGCCATGGCAGTGCTGAAGAACAAGGTTCTCCTGGGCTCAGTTTCTTTCCCAAAAGCAGGGACTACCCATTTTCCTGGAGTGCTGGGCACTGCCCCAGTCCAGGCAGGGCCCCCTTGCTCTAATGGGGATGTGGTGGGGGCTCGAGCACCCTTTGGTTACTTTGAGCCCCTTGCTCAAGGGTTGTGGGAGAGCTCCTGGGTCCATCCTGGCGCTGTAGGGGTGGGATGTGCCAATGGGGAAGGAACATCTGGACCCAGGGTGTGACTGGTCACTGTCTGTTGCTATAGGTGAACCTGAGCAATGCCTCTCGGACCCAGGGAGGCAACTCATTTGATGACAGCACCTTGCCTCTCATCGACAGGAACCAAAAAACAGGTACGTGCCTGCCTTCAGCACCTGTGCCCGCCATCATCCCCCCACACCGTGTGGGTACCCAGGGCAGCTGGCCTTTGTCCCCTCCCTGCCCTTCAGCCCGGGCTTCCCTGGCAGCCACAGCTGCTCACACAGGGCCATCACCATCAGTTTGGGCCATAGCTGGCTTTCCTGGCCATCGAGGCCCTCAGTTTGGGCTTTAGGTGGCTCCTTGGGGTTGTCACTGGTAGGGCCTGTAGCGTCCTTGGGTCACAGAGCTGTGGCTGCAGCTGGGCCTGGGCTCCCCCAGCTGGGGCAGGTGGCAGTTCCTCCACGGCTCAGGGACTGTCCCTGACCTGCTCTCCTGTACTTGTAGATAAGAAATCCTCCCGGGAGGAGATCCAGATGAGCAACATGGGACCAGGTAGGAGAGGGACTGGAATGAGGGGCCTCTCGCCCCCTCAGTGTGCAGGGAGGGGGGCAGAGCTCACATCTCCTGTGGGGATGGGGCAGCCCTCCCTGGAGGCGACACAGCTGACTGTCCCCTCTCCTGCTCCAGACAACTATTCCACACTCAACGAGAGGGACCACAGCAGGACGCTGGAGCGATCCGGTGACCTGGGAGAGATGGAGCCGGTGAAGGCAGCGCCGCTGATGGTGAGCAGCTGTCCCTGACCAGGGAGGGGCACAGGAGATGCCACATCGCTGTCCTGGCTGGCAGGAGGAGGGGAGAGCTGGGCTCCCACAACTAACACCCCCCCCCGCCCCCTCGCCCCTACTAACCCCCGTGTGTCTGCAGCAGGAGGAGGAGGGGCAGGAGCCGCAGCCTGAGGTAGAGGAGGCGGAGGAAGAAGCTGCTGTGCTTTCCCCCGTGTCGGTATGTCCCGCGGTGTCCTGCCCAATCTGACAGTGGTGACAGATCCTGCTGTGCTGTTAGGGGTGCTTGGCCAGCCAAATCCTGCTCCCGTTGATCGATCTCTGCTGCCGTGGTGCCGCCTCCGCCGCTCGCTCCCGCCCCAGCCCTGCTAACGCCTCTCCCTCTCTCTCCACAGCAGAAGATCTAGCTGGCCTGCCCACCTCCGCTCCGTTTGGGTTGATAATATATTATATATATAAATATATAACTCTTCACGGTGGAATGGACCGACTTTTACCTTGTCTTACTGTTGGAATTTTTGCTGGACTCCTTGTGCCAACCATCCAGCCAAACCATGCCTGGGCTGGCTCCCCGGGGGCCACTCGGCCTCCTCTGGGCCTCTGCACCTCCCCGTCCCGGGACACCACGACTGAGAGCTCCTCCTCCCGTCCTCCACCACCACCTCCTTCCTCCCGAGGGGTAAAACCTCTTCCTGCCTGACTCTGCCGGATCAGCCGGCGTGGATGCTGCACAAGGACTCGGATCTCTGCCTTGACCAGGAGCTGCCTTCTCTCCCACGCCTTCCCCCTGCTGCAAGGCATCTGCAGGGACAGGGACTGGGACCTCACTCGCCGCCGCCTTGTTTTTGGTTTGGTTTCGTTGCCTATAGGATGTATTTTTTTCGTGCGGGATCACTCTTCAGCCAGGGACAGCACAGACATCCCTCCTCCCTGGGGGCTGCAGGACCGGGGTCCAGGGGCTGGAGCCGTGGTGGGGAGGGCGAGAGGAAGGACAGCCAGCAGCCAGCAATAACTTCTCTTGCTTTGCTCTAGACGAGGCTTTGGGGGGTGTGGGAAGGGGGATGTGGCTCTGGATCCTGCGGACGGGTCTGGATGGGGGAGCCCCAGCTCCCACCCGGTGCCTGTGTGAGGAGGATCCTTATGTGGGGAAGAGGGTCAGTGCTGGGGCGAGGGACGGGCCTCCCGGGGCGGAGGTGTGAGGGGTCCCTGCGGAGGGAGGAGACGCGGTAGGATTTTGGGGAGAGGGCTCGGGGTGTGCCGTGCCGGGCGGCTGGAGCCGGGACCCCCACGGCGCTGCCCCCCCTGACTTTCTCTTGACACGTGCCTTTCTTTTGCCACTGTGAAATAGCTGTTTGAATCGTACTGTCCGGCTGCTTCCCTGGGGAAGGGGAGTTCCCGGGGCTTCCAGCAGGGCTGAACTCCTCCCTTCCCCACCGGGAGCCTTCCCTGTCTGCAGTGGGGCTGGGAGCCTGTTTCTGGGGGGAACCCACCCCCCCTGCCCTTGCTGAGAGGGTTCAGGGCATTGCCATCCAGGCCTGGGGAGCCTGGGCTGCCACGGGAGCTGGGATGTGCTCCTCCTCCTCCTCTTGGCTGTGGTGCTGGGGCACACTGACGTGCTGTGATCTTCTGGGGGGCCCTGCTGCTCCCTGTGCAACTGGAAGTCTCTGTAGGAGGCTGCAAACTGGAGCAGGAGCCCTCCCAGCCCGGGGCTCCCCCCGGGAGGGGTGTGGGGAGGTGGCAGGGGCAGAGCTGGTGCCTTGCTCCTGCCTTGAATCTCCCCCCCCAGCACCAGCTGGGCCCTCCCTGCTTCCAGCCCCACCTCAGCTCGGTTGGGTTTTGTTCTGGGGTCTAACTCTTCTCTTTTCCTTTAAATATGTAAAACACTAATTCCTTTTTTAATTTTTAATTCTAAATGAACCAAAAAGACAGCGTCCCCCTCCTCTCCTCCTCGGCCCTGCTGGGGAGGGGGGCTAAGGAGGGGAGGAGGGGGAAGCACCAAGCCGTTCCTTGTCTGATTCCTGTGCACACTCTTGTAACGCTTTGAAAACAAAATGATTTTTTTATATAAATAAAGTTTTTAAAGTGTGTCGGTGTGCCTGCCCCCCCTGGCTGCACTCTCGGGTGTTTCTGGCTTTCCTGTTGGGAACAAGGGCCTTTTCCAGGACTCCCAAAGGTGTCGTTGTGTGACAAACCCTTTCTTGTCTGAGGGTGACACTTCCCAGCCCTCCCACCCTGCCTTGCACCTTTGTCCCCAAAGCCACCAGTGAGCAGAGCAAAGGCAGGACCGGCTGTTTTATTGCTTCAGGTCCAGGGGGCAATGCCCAGGATGTGTGGCTTGGCAGGGACAATGCCAGGAATGTCTTGAGAGAATGCGGGCAAGGAATGGTGCCTGGGATGCCTGGCACCAGCAAGGCTGGGACAGTTGGCTGGGTGGGACAAAAGGAGGCATATTGGGCTCAGCAGGGACAACGGCAGGGGTGTTGATAGTTGGGGACCATGCTGGGGACATGCAGGCTGGGGGTCAGAGGAGGAGTTTGGGGATACACAGGCTGGGGGTCAGAGGAGGAGCTTGTTTGGGGACATGCAGGCTGGGAGTCAGAGGAGGATTTTGTTTGGGGATGTGCAGGCTGGGGGTCAGAGGAGGAGTTTGTTTGGGGATGTGCAGGCTGGGGGTCAGAGGAAGAGCTTATTTGGGGACATCCAGGCTGGGGGTCAGAGGAGGAGTTTGTCTGGGGACACCCAGACTGGGGGTCAGAGGAGGAGTTTGGGGACACCCAGGGTGAGGGTCAGAGGAAGAGCTTGTCTGGGGACATACAGGCTTGGGGATCAGAGGAGGAGTTTGGGGGCACCCAGACTGGGGGTCAGAGGAGGAGTTTGTTTGGGGACATCCAAGCTGGGAGTCAGAGGAGGAGTTTGGGAACACCAGGCTGGGGGTCAGAGGAGGAGTTTGGGGGCACCCAGGCTGGGAGTCAGAGGAAGAGCTTATTTGGGGACATCCAGGCTGGGGGTCAGAGGAGGAGTTTGTTTGGGGACATCCAAGCTGGGAGTCAGAGGAGGAGTTTGGGAACACCAGACTGGGGGTCAGAGGAGGAGTTTGGGGGCACCCAGGCTGGGGGGCTCAGAGGAAGAGCTTGTCGTGGCAGGCCTGGCAGTACATCTTGTCTCCCCACTCGCGGAAGGTGCCTTTCTGCAGCCGGCCCAGGCAGTAGGTGCAGACGAAGTGCTCGGGGTGGTACTTGCGCCCCGCGGCCGTGATGCAGCGCCCGGTGACGGGGCGGCCGCAGCCGTGGCAGATGGTGCCCTGCCGCCGGTGGAAGTGCAGCTCGCAGTAGGGCCGACCCTCCAGCTCGAAGAAGGAGCCGCCGGAGAAGCCGCTCAGGCATTCCTGGGGGGAAGGAGACCGGGAAAGGCTGGCACGGCCTCAGGAACGCCGGGCAGGGCCACCCCGCCGCCCACACTCACCGTGCACACGAAGCACTCGGGGTGCCACACGCCCTGCAGGGCCGACAGGTAATTGTCCGTGACCGGGCGCTCGCAGCCCTGGCATTTGGGGGCGAACATGGCCAGGAAGTCCTGGCGGCAGTAGGGCTTCCCGTTCCTCTCCAGGAACCCTGCGGAGAGGGGATCGGGATGGGCACCCACCGGGGGGGTGGGCAGAGGGCATGGATGTGGGCTTGCCCGGGGTAGGAGGCAAGGGAAAGACCGTGGAGGGATGTCAGATGGGGCGGTAGGTGTGAGGGCAGGGGCTACCTGGGGTGGGGGCAGGTCTGCCACGCCCGTCCCCTGGGACATACCCTCGTCCCCGAAGACCTTCCCGCAGTGGGCGCAGAAGAAATGCTCGGGGTGCCAGGTCTGGTCCAAGGCCGTGAGGACTTTCTGCGGGAACAGGTGAGGTGAGGCGGCCGGCGGTGACAGGGGGTGGCGTGGGAGCACAGGGGGGGATTTACCTCGCGGATGGTGCCGGCACAGTAGGCGCAGCGGGGGGAGAAGGCCTGGTGATAGTCCTCCTCGCAGAACGCCCGCCCGCCCTGCTCGAAGAAGGGCTGGCTGTCCAGCCCCTGCCCGCAGCGGGCACAGGTGAAGTGCTCGGGGTGCCAGGTTTGGCCCAGGGCTGTGAGCACCTGTGAGAAGGCGGGGGAGGCTGAGGGCAGCTCCGGGGGGATGCTGAGGGGAGGGGATGCCAGGACGGCGGCGGGGGGCTCACCTTGCCGGCGATGGGCTTGCGGCAGCCGGCACAGACCCCCGCGGGGGCGGCCGTGATGCCCAGCTCCTGCAGGTCCCGGGTCAGGCTGCCCAGCATGTTGTCCAGGGAGGGCTCTGCGGGCACTCCGGCCCCCTGCCCGGACAGCTGCCGGGGAGCAGGACGGTGAGGGCTGGGTGAAGGTCAGGCTCCCAACCCCCTTTCCCCAGGGCCGAGCTCACCTTGCTCTGCATGTGGCCCAGGTCGGCCAGGAGCTCATCCAGCTGCTGGGCGGCCGTCGTGGGTGGGGGCTGTGGGACCGGGATGGGGCTGCTGAACACGGTACAGGGGGGGTGGTGATGAGGTTTCCACTTTTTCTAGGACTGAGACCCCTCCAGCCCCACCAACACGGCCCTTTCCCAGAGAAAAGGCCCTTTCCCACTGCAGGGAACACGTAGCCCAGCCCTTACCCCAGCAGGGATGCAGGGTACAACCTGCCCCACCTTGCAGAAAGACCTATTTTTCAGGCATTGACGTGACCCCAGGTGGCACATCCCAGCAATGAGTGGGCACCCCCAGATGGCTTTGCCCTCCCATGGCCATTTTTACCTGTACACTGTCTCCAAATCCTTTCCCAGAGACTGAGCCTGAGGCAGCAGCTGCACCTGGGAGGACAAACCCTTGCAGCCAAGCTCCCCTGGCAGCTCCATCACGAGCTGAGGGGATCTGTGCTGAGGCCTCTGTACCTTTTGGGCTGCTGAGGCAGGAGGCTCAGAGCCACGGGGGGCAGGTGGATCCTGGCAGGAGCTCGGTCCCTGCCACACAGGGTCCTTGGAGGCCTGGAGGGAGCTCTGCTCCAGTTCTGCCAGCAAAGCATCTGCACAGAGAGACCCTCCCCTCAGGCACCACAGCCACTGGCTGCCCACCCTGCTGCCACCCCCTTGGGAGGTCTTGTATGACTTCCAAAATCCCAGGAGCAAAAGGAGCATCCCAGCAGGCTCTGCAGGGCAGGTGCCAGTGCCCTGAGGGCACCCAGATCCCCATCCCCAGTGCAGGATGTGCCCGCCACTTCCTGCAGCCTTCCTGGAGTGTGGGCACTGCTGGCAAAGGGTCCTGCCCCTGCACACCACCCCTGACCTGCCAAGGAACATCCACCAGCCCTTCACTTCATCCAGCACGAGCCCTGGAAGGGGAGGGCTCAGCCTCGGTGGGTTCCAGAGTGCTGCTTCCCCCAGGAAGAGCCGAGAGCTTGTTCTTCCCAATTCTGTCTCGCCACCTTGGCCATCCCTCACATCAGGAAACGGGGAATGCCCCTCCCTCCCCACCATGGCACAGCTGCTTCCCCGCCCCAGGCCAGGGCCGGCTCCCAGCACCCCCAGAAGTTGTGCTGCAGTCCCGGGATTGCAGCGCTGCCATGGCCCATTTCCTGCTCTCAAGCTCGCTCCGTGTTTGGCCAAGCTCTTGCTCGACCACCCCATCAGCCCCCTGGGATGGGGGAGGCACTGCAGGGAGCCTGGCCCCATTGCTGCCCCCGTTGTTGCCCCCTTAGAGCATCCCCACCTGGCCCTGGGGGAGAGGAAGGACAAGGCTCCCCCCAGGCGCTGCAGGCACGGCCCCACGCCAAGCCTGGCTGCAGGACCGCCTCTGGAGCGGCCCAGCTTACCCAAATCCTCCATCCTGCCCTGGCACGGGGGCCCGGGGGCCGGGGCAGCACCCGCAGGGAGGTGAGCTGGCGCTCGGGGCCGTGCAGGCGCTCGGTTCCGGTGCCGCCTCCGCCCCCCGCGCCGGGTTGTGTCGCTCAGGGTTTCCCTTTGTGGGCTCTGCGCCTCACACCACGTGTGACGGGGCAGAGCTGGGGCACGGGGAGCCACAAACAGCCCCGGGCTGGGGCTGCAGAGGGAAGAAACTGGCCAGCGAGTTGTCCGAGGAGCTCTGGGTATAAACTGGGATGCTCTGGGAGCCGGAGCGCGGGTGTCCTGCAGAGCCAGGCCTTTTCCAGAAGCCACTGGCCACGTGTGCCGAGGGATGGCATCCCTGTGACGGTGTGACAGAGCAGTGCCTTTTGGGGAACGCTACTGCAGCCTCATCTTGGATTTCCAGGTAAGAGCAAATGCCCTTTGGGCAGAGAAATCCCCTGGGAGTGGCCAGTGGATGTGGGAACAGCTCCGAGGGACTGGTTCATAACCTGGGGGGCTGGTCTGTCGTCCCCTCTCAGTGCCCCTGCCTCCCCAGCGTGGCTGGGGGGGGGTTAATGCCAGAGGTGGGTGCAGGGGATGTGCACGTGGCTTGGTGTGTCCTTTGGGCTCTTGTTTGGGTGTTTGGAGGAGGCACCGCCCTGTAGGTGATGGATAACACCTCCAGCCCCTTGGTTACCAGCAAAGCTTCACCGTGCCCTGGCCTGGCTCCTCCTTAGTCCATCTCCCCGGGGGTTCAAGGGTGCCAGAAAAACCTCGGGAGCAAAGGCTGTGTGGCCAAGCGCGTCCTCTCGGCGGGGCCACGACCCCCGTGTGAGCGGGGAACCGCAGCATCCGGGGCCGCCGAGGCACGGCCGCTCCCACGGGCCGGGCTGACACCACCACGGCCCCGCTCCCAGGCTCTGCTGAGCCCGCCTGCACCCTCAGCTGGGCCGGGCTCGAGCCCCTCGAGCTGCCTCGGCGGGGTTCACTGAATTACTGACGCGTTAATTACCACGTCGGTGACGGCGCTTTTGTTCCCTGCCCGCAGCAGCGCCATCCAGCCCGGCGGCACCTCGGGGAAAGCCCCGCGGGACATTCACCGGGACGTGTTTCAGGGCAGGAATCCTGAGAGCCACCCAGAGACAAGCCGGGGCACTGCTGGTATCGCTCAGCCTTGCGTCAGGCGCTTCCCTCCCCGCACGCACCAGAACCTTCCTGCCTGCGGAACGTTTGGGGCTATTTTTAGCCTTCTCAGTGATTTACTCTCCCCGCTGGGGACTTGTGAGCCCGAGGGCACAGGAGGAGCCGGCGCTGGAACTCCTCATTGTAAAACTGCCCCTTATGAGCCCCTCGGAGGCAAAAGGCTGAGCTGCTCCCTGGCCACAGCTCTGCCCCCCTGCAGTGGCTCAACCAGAATTAAGCAACCCCAGCCTTGCCCGCAGAGGGGAAATCAGTCGTGACAATGACAAGAGCAGGTTGGTATCGGGCTGACAGAAAGCAGGACCCGGCCCAGGTCAGCAGCTGTGGGGAAGGTTTGTGCTGAGCCTCTTGCCTGGGTCTGGCAGGGACAGGAGGAATCCCCGTGCAAGTACCTCGAGCTTTGCTTTAACTTTCACAGGTTCCCCCCCCTTCCCTGGGCTCGGTGTCTTGCTCAGAGGAATAGGCACTTCACGGTGAGGTGGTTTATTAGAGGAACGGAGGAAGGGAGAGCTGGACACACCTTTGTCTTCTAGGAACACGAAACAGAGCTCAGGACTCGAAACCCGGGAGCAGAAGGAAGCGCGGGATAGCCGGAGCCCTCTTCCCTGGTGGGAACCGGTTCAGCAAACAGGATTTACCAGCTAAACGCCTCGGGCTCTTTGAACCCCGGTGATTTTTGCCGCCTCCGGAGAGAGGATGAGGAGCACCTCGCTCTGCTGCCGCGATGGGGCGCCTTTTCCAGAGGGGCGCTGTTTCCTTCCCGGTTTCCTTCCCCTGGGATGAACAGTGGACGTGGAAGCGGAGGAGCTTCCCATGCCCAGCCAGGGCAGCTCCCCCTGCTCGGCTCTTCCAGCCGCAGCCCGAGGGGGTGTCGCTCCCTCTCCATTCGCTCTGGCAGAGCAGGAACGGGCTGGGATACCGGCCACGCTCCCGTCCAGGACAGCGTGCGGGGGTCACGGCAGCGCTGTGGCAGCAGGGGTTTAGATCAGGGATGGGGATCCCTGGTGACCCGTGTAGAGGAATGAAGAGAAATCCAGCCAATTTAGCCAATATTTTCAAGGACTGGGGGGAAAGCTGTATTTCCTGGCCTGGGAATGTCACCCTTTGTTCTCCTGTCCTAGAATGTGAGTCAGATGTGTAAAATGGGGGTAAGGTCGGCCAAGCCACCCATTCCCGAGGAACCACGGCACAACCCCCTGCCCAACCCCACGCGCGGCTCCCGGCCCGGGGGATCAAGGGCGCACACGAGGGATCGCTCCAGGTCCCAGGGCACACCTGGACACTGAGGCTGCTTGGACCGGGACCCCGCTCCCGGCACCGGGCACAGAGCGGGGATCGGGACGCGGAACCGCATCACGGGGTTCCTTTGGGGAGGAACACGGGCTTTGCAGAACGCAGGGCCGGGTCCTGCCGCGGAGCCGGTCCCGGGGGTGCTGCCCAGGGGCCGTTCGGGGCAGGTGACGGGAACCGGGAATGTGAACCGGGAAGGTGCAGCGCCACCGGGAGGCGGGGCCTCCCCGCCCCACGCGGAACTACAGCTCCCGGCAGGCCCCGCGCGTGCGCCGCGCCGGGACGGAAGTGGGCGGGCCGCGCGGCCCGGGCCCCGCCCCCCTGCGCCGGCCGCCATTTTGTCACCGACTTTCACCCGCCGCCCGACGGGGCGGTTTTTTTTTTTCTTAAAGGAGAAGCGGCAGCCAAAAAGCGGCCCCGCCGCCAGGCCCCGCCGGCACCGCGGGCGGCGCCGCAGCCCCGCCGCACGGAGCGGCCGCGCGGGGCCGGGGCGGCGAACGGCTTTCCCCCTGCCGGGCCTCGCCCGCGGGGCGAAGGGGGCCCCCCGGGGGCAGGCGGAGGGGCGCACACAGCGGCGGCGGTAGGGAGCCCGGCGGTGCCGGGGGCCGGGCGTCGGCCGGGGGCCGAGCCGGGGCGGCGGGCGGCGGGGGCCGCGCTCGAGTGGGCGCCGAGCGGGGCCGGCCCGGGGGGGGAGCGGGAGCGCGAGCGCGGCGGCCGCGGCGGCGCCTGCGCGGGGGGCGGGGGACGGCCGGGGCGCGCGCGCGGAAGCCGCGCGCTGGTTGGCCGCGCGGCCGCTCCGTAGGGGGCGGGGCCCCGCCCCAGCCGGGCCGCCCATTGGCCGGGGCGGCGCGCGAGCGGCGGGGGAAGGCGGGAGCGCGGCGGGCGCGGGGGGGAGGCGGGTCTCGCGGGGTTAGGGGCGGGGCCGTCCCTCGCGTCCCGCCCGCCGATTGGCGGGTGCGGGCGCCGGCGGCGCGCCGGGGCAGCGCGTGAAGGCGGGCGGCGGGCGCTGATTGGGCGCGGGCGGCGGGGGCGGGCCCGTCCCGCCGAGGGAGGAGCGCGGCCGCCCCGGCCCCGCCGCCGCCGCCCCGATGCCGGCGGGCACCGAGCAGCCGGGGGGCGCCGCCGCCGAGCCGCCGCCGCCCGCCCCGGTGCCACCGCCCGCCGCTGACAGGCCGCCCGCCTCGGGCCGCCGCCGCCCGCCGCCCGCCGAGCAGGGAGAGGAGTCCGGCGGCAGCCGGGTGCTGAGGGGCGGCCGGGAGCGCGGACGCGCCGCCGCCGCCGCCTCGGCCGCGGGGGGAGCCGCCGCCGCCGCCGCCGCGTCCCGGCGCCGTAAGGCCGAATACCCCCGGCGCCGGCGGAGCAGCCCCGGGGCGCGGCCCGCCGCCGAGCAGCCCGCCGCCGAGACGCCGCCCGCGGCCAGGAAGGGCCCCCGGGCCGGGTGAGTCCCTGCGGCGCCGCTGGGCCCGCACCTCTCCGGGGTCGCGGCCGGGGCCGGGCGTGGGGGGCTCTGCGGGCGATCCGGCGGCATCGCGCCCGGGCCCCGGGGCCGCCTCCGGGCGCGGGACGCCCCGCGCCGCCGCCCCTTTGTTCCGGCGCCGCCGGTCCCTTCCCAGGAAGCGCCGCGTCCCGGGAGCCGCCGGCAGCGCCGCGGCCGCTGTCCCGGGGCCCCGCGGAGCCAGCGCGGTTTGGCCCCGTCCTTCTCGGGGAGGGGGCGGCGGGATCCAGATTCCCGGGGGAGGATGTTGCACCTTCGGCGCGGAGCGGGACCCCGGCCACGTGCACGCGTGGAGCCTTTGGGAGTGCAGCTGCTCTGCCCTGTCCCAAGCTCAAAATCCCCCTGGCTCGGGCGTAACTACGGTGGGCAGGGCTGACCCTTTGCTGCTGGATGTTCCTGGAGTTCCCCTCAACTCCCTGCCGCTGGAATAATCCACCTTGGCACGAAGGAGTGAAAGCAGCGATCCCAGGGCGAGGCACTGGGAATTTGGGGAGCTCATCTGCGTGTTGTGCAGTTCCTTGTTTCTGCCCCTGTGCCGCAGAATCTGGCTCTTATACTTGGTTTTGTATTTTTTTTCAGGTGTGCAGATAAAGCAGCTGGTAAAGGTAAGAGCTGAATTACTCACTCCTGCTGTCTCTTCCATCCGGGAAGTCTGGGCTCTCCCGGAGCCAGATGTCTGTCTTGTCCCCCTGAGTTAGCCAGATATGTCTTAGATCTTCCTTTTAAAGAATGTTTTGGTGCTAGATGATGTGCCTGGTGGTTTGACAGCTCTTGTTGCTCAGCAGTCCCAAGCAGCAGGCAAATCCTGGGCTCTCTTCTGTTCTGGAGCTCACGAGTACAGGTGTAGGTCCTCCAGAGCCGTGTGGAAATGATAGTATTCAGCTATTTACACTTGTTCTTTTCAAACTCTCAGTGGATCGTGGATTTTTTTACGCTCATTTCTTCGGGGGGAAGGAGAAAATTCTTCAGAATTTGGGGAGACAGTGGCTTAAGGGGTCTGAACACAAAAGCCTCA